AAGCAAGCGGGTTCAGCTAGTCACACTCATCATTGGCAGTCACACTCATCATTGGCAGTCACACTCATCATTGCCAGTCACACTCATCACTGCCAGTCACACTCATCACTGCCAGTCACACTCATCACTACCAGTCACACTCATCACTACCAGTCACACTCATCACTACCAGTCACGCTCATCATTGCCAGTCACACTCATCATTGCCAGTCACACTCATCATTGCCAGTCACACTCATCACTGCCAGTCACACTCATCACTGCCAGTCACACTCATCATTGCCAGTCACACTCATCACTACCAGTCACACTCATCACTACCAGTCACGCTCATCATTGCCAGTCACGCTCATCATTGCCAGTCACTCTTCATTGCCAGTCACACTCATCAATGCCAGTCACACTCATTACCAGTCACACTCATCACTACCAGTCACACTCATCACTACCAGTCACGCTCATCATTGCCAGTCACGCTCATCATTGCCAGTCACTCTTCATTGCCAGTCACACTCATCATTGCCAGTCACACTCATTACCAGTCACACTCATCACTACCAGTCACACTCATCACTACCAGTCACACTCATCATTGCCAGTCACACTCATTACCAGTCACACTCATCACTACCAGTCACACTCATCACTACCAGTCACACTCATCATTGCCAGTCACACTCATCATTGCCAGTCACACTCATCATTGCCATGGGATGTGATCCCCAGTCCTCTCTGTAGCACATTATAACATTATCATCCAGAACAGCAGTTCTCAACATGCCGGTCGTGACCTTTTTTTTGGGGTCGAATGACCCTTCCACAAGGGTCGCCTGAGACCATCAGAAAACACATAATCATTGAAGTTATGAAGGAAAATTATTGTTTGGGGGTCGCCACAACATGAGGGAATTGTATAAAAGGGTCGTGGCATCAGGAAGTGTGACAGCCACTGATCTAGGAAGATGGAAAGATGCCAACAGCAACTTTGAAAGAGATCAAGTATGCAGCAGTAGTGACAACTACAGAAGTTACATTTCTTAAGTATGGTCAAGCAAAATGTAAAAAGTCAGAGATCATATGGTGGGATGGTTAAGATTCAAAGAGGAGAGCCTGTCAGACATTTGTTTCATGGAGTGAAAGATTAAAAAACATTTGAAGAATGTATGGACATTATATTATTCATTTTCCCCCCATCTTTTGATGACTCAGCTATTTTACAAGTTGATATCAATTCCTTGATTGTTACATTAGGCATTTCTGTCATTTGGATTTTATGTCACTGTGTACGCCTTAATATGTCACCACACTAAATATATCCAGAGCTGTGGTAGCAGTTGCTAGATACTTGCCTGCTGGCCCTAATGTCTTGGGTTCAAATCTCTACTGAGCTGGATTTTTTTAATTGACCTAGAACTCCCAGGTCAACCCAGCCTAAAATGGGTATCAGTAAAATATCACACAGGTAAAGGCAGTCTATGTAATTTAACTGAATGTACTGATGTAATTAATATTGAAAAAGTGCTAATTCTGCATGTTCTGAGAACACTGAAGGATACTGGCTCATAAGCAGTCAGGTTTTAGATACTAAAATACTTTGGTGATATTGTTATGGTGCTTTCAAAGTAATGGTAATCTTCATCTTCTTCCTCACATTCCCCTGCTGTTAACTCTAGCATAAAGTCCTAGTTGTTCATTAGCTTATGGACACTGGTCTTTTTCCAGGACTTGAATGTTGTATGCACATTTGTGTGCAGACTGTTGGTTCCTAACCTTTCAGACAGATGCACTTTGGCTTTGAAGAAAACAGTCTTATTTATGTTAGCCAAGGCCTTGGTTGGAAACCTGTTTCCAGGATGAGTGAGAGGAGTAGATTTGTTATGGCCAGTATGGGCTCTAGTACACCACCACTTGTGATTCCATAGCTCTGCATTCCGATACTAATGAGAGGCATTATGGTTCCATGAAGAAAGATGCAAGACCCAGTCAACATGGTTGACTGTGCCTCTACAGAGACATAAATGTGTTAAGCCCATTACAGCATGGCTGCATATCTGACTTTTGCAGGTATTTGATGTCCTGGTTAGCCTTCCTGGAGATGCACATGTAATATTAACTCTTTCAATCCTAAACTTGTTACTTCAGCACTTTCTGTCCCCAAAAACTGTGTACTTTACAGCAAGTCTGAGTCTATACAGCTGTCAGACAGAAGGAGTTGAAGTAACAGTGGGGGGATAAATGATGAATCAGAAAATCTGGACAGAACAAGCTAAGAAATGTAAAACTGTATATGGTGTAATCAGTAAACATAGGGTGAGTACTTTCCCATGTGGGTTCCTGGGACCTCATTTTGGGGCGAAAAATGAATAAACACGCTGCCTTTAAAAGGGAATGTTGTAAAAGGTGACTAAATTATTTTGGTGAACATGCAAGTAGAAGAAGAAAGGCAAAAAGCTGTGAGTGTTTTCCAGCAAGCTATTGTGATAGTGTTATTCTGCATGAAAAGCATGTGATGTCTTCAGTAACCAACAGTGTATGCTGGGTTACTATGTGTAGACTGAGTTGTGCAGATGCAGTAGTTTTTTCATGGTAAATGTAATTTTAACATACAGTTTTTAATAAAGTCAGCATTTGTGGCTTAGGAGTTATGAATATTGCAATTCTGAGATAACCAGTCTGTTTCCAGCTGCAATTGATTTGGCAGCTGACTGCTTTGTGTTTATCTTGACAATTATATTGAGAGCCAACTGTTCAGCAGGTAATGGTTAACTACCTAATGTAAAAACTGCCTAGTAAAACCACAAACAGCTGATAAATGCTGGGGTTGGTTTGCAGTGTCATTTAAAGGATACACAGCTAGCTTTTTTTATTGAAAAATATAATATATACAAATGACGATATAGATGAGTGTGAAGGTAACGTAAATTTTCATGGTAAACGTAATGTTATCGTACACTTTATAATTAAAAACAGTGATACAGATGAGTTATAAAGGTAAAGGAAGTTTTTGTAGCAAATGTAATTTTATAATACATTTTGTAATTAAAATTTTTAAAAATAAAGCAGATATAGATGAGTTGTGAAAGTGAAGTGATTTTTCATGGTAGATGTAATTTTAACATACACTTTCTATTTTTAAAAATGTAACACTAGAACTTTTATAGTGAAAAATACCTAAGATAACACTAGAATTATAATAATAACACATACAAAAACATGTAAGTTAACACAACATTTGTTGTAGCAAACAAGCTGTAAAATCACAGAACACTACAAAACATATGCTGTAATTAAGAAGGATACAAGGCATGACTATTCAGCTAAGTTTATGGGGTCAAAGTTTTTTAAAAGGATCATCATGAGCCAGAGGCCCGACCCCTAGTTTAGAAAGATCATTAATACACTACTACAGGAAAGGATCTGCAGACCTCTTGATAGGCCTTCGTTGGCCAGATTTGGCCAACAGGCTGCCAGTTTGAATAGCCTTGGTAGGATAACATCCGTTAATGAGATATTAAAAAAACGAAACACTGGTTTTTTTTTTTTACAATACTGGAGGAAAAGGTTGAAGGCAAGAGATGAAGAGGTAGACAACAACACAGGTGGAAGGTCAACATCCAGAAATGGACAAACAGCAGTCTGAGAGAGTGTACAGCCAAGACAAGAGACAGAGAGTGCTTGAGATCTATTGCAGTCAAGCTTCATTGTGGAGATGGCACTTGATTGATAAGAGTGACGTAACATTAGAATTGTAATAAACTAGATGTAATGTAGAACTAAAACTGTTGTAATAAAATAGATGTAAAGTTAATTACACTAGATTTGTGTTAGCAAACAAGAATAAGGGAAAAAACACAATACATTTGTTGTATTTAAAAAGAATTTAAGATAGCATAAAACTAGAACAGTTGTAATAAAATGGATGTAATGTAACACAACACTAGATTTGTGTTAGTAAATAAGAGTAAGTTAACAAAATACTACATTTGCCACAATATAAAAATAATTTAAGTTAACACTAGAAATTGATAGCCCTGTGCATCCCAGGCATTGTCACTTGACGATAATAGATTTTTGGGTTTGAAGAGATTGACATATAACAACTGTAGGACAAAGGGTTTAAATTAATCAATGGAGCAGAATGAGTTGGAACAGGTGGAACAGATTGGGTAAGTGTTTAAACTGGATAGAGTTAATAAAGATAATCATGTATGGAGTAACAGATATATCTTTGATGAATTAATTTCTTGAGGGCCTGGGTATGTGGATATACCAAAGAATAGGGTATCCTTCAGGAGGGCCTGGGTATGTGGATATACCAAAGAATAGGGTATCCTTCAGGAGGGCCTGGGTATGTGGATATACCAAAGAATAGGGTATCCTTCAGTGAGGATCAAATACAGAGGTTCTGGGGAACTGGGAATGAACACAGAGCTGTTGAAAGAAATTAAAAAACACTAAAGAGAAATATTTGGTCCACACTAACTCTTTCCATGCCAAACAGTGGATCATGTGTTACTAACTATTCTCCATGTGCCTCAAACATCAAATCAAACGTCTTCTTATATTTAAGTTTTGGTCAGTGTATACTAAATAAATCTAGCAAGTACAGGAATAACTTTCAGTCATTTTTTTTTATTCCTACAGCACATCAAGTGGCTAGAGATTTTGTGGCAATGTTTAAAAAAAAAAATAGATAGGTGATTTCTGTAGAAAATCTCATAGGACTGACAAATTTAAAAGAGATAAGACTCTCAAAAAAGCTACACTCGAGTGATAGTTAACAGCAAATCTACAAGAGGTAGACAGTGGTACAAGTCGGAAGATAATATCAAGAAATGATGCATAGAAGTCTGAGAGATTGTACAATGAGTGTAAAAGATAAAGAGTATTGGAGATCTGTTTGCAGCCAGCTTCCCTTTTTTTTTGCGATGTCACCTGATTGACTGAGTTGCTTGATGCAAATTGACTTCATTATAGATGTTAATGCCGGGTCTGATGATTTAACGGACCAGCTGCAGTATTAGCATAATCCCGGCGACCCCATAAAGGATAGTACCAGCAAGGGACACGCCCATTGACCATCCCATATCACTTCCGTATCCATTCCGGTTGTCACCATCTGAAGTGGCTCCAAACAAGGCGTAGCCTATGCTGGCAAAAATGACTGCAATGGAGAGACAGAATTGACACCGTGTTAAATGTAGGCAATTTTTTTTTTAACTTTACATATAGTATTACACTTTACAATTAAGTAAATTATATTATGTTAGATGTAAGAAACTTTGAGCAACTCTAAATATATTTAAAAATTAAACAGTGTTTTCCTCTTATGAAATACAATAATGAAAATTCTGAATGAATATAAAATACGAAATTAAAAGTGCACAAGGCGGAAAAGCTGACTAGAGACCAAGTTTCTTTCAGGCAGACCGTGATGAGAGCGATGTTCTGCAAAGGACCTGCTACATCAGTAGTTCTTAACTTGTGGGTCGCTACCCTTTTTTGGGTCAAACAACCCTTTCACAGGGGTCGCCAAAGACCATCACAAAACATATTCATCGAAGTTATAATGTAGCAACGAAAATAATCATATGGTTGGAGGTCACCATAGCATAAAGAAGTGTATTGAAGGGTTGCGTCATTAGGACGGTTGAGAACCACTGTGCTACGCAGTGAATGAAGATTCAAACAATATTAATCATATTTTTTAAACAGTATTTCACCTGCTGAGAAACAGCAAAATATGTTAGGTTTATGACTTCTGTATATAAAATCTGAATACACTGTTGAATTTTTCATTGGAGAAAAAACAAGGGAATGAGTTAGAAGCTACACATGAAACTTTCAACAACTCCAAGTATAGTTACATTTTACAATGAAATGATCTTGGCTCCCAGGTCTACCCAGCTTTAAATAGGTACTAGGTAAAGTACTGGGAAGTAAAGGTGGCCAGCATAATGTTGACCACCCATCGAGGGCTGACTGATCTGTAAAAATATGTGTAGCTTCACATGGCTCATGCGCCACTGGTATGTAAAGAACCTTTGCTTTCACAATAAAATTGTAATGTGTTAGTTATATTGCAACTGCCATTATAAAGAGTGCATACACACCAGGCTCATGTTTTTTAGTCTGGTGAGGGCTACTCTTTTATCTTGTCTGATCTGAGAGATTCCTGCTAAGGGCTACACTGAGGACTGAGGCTCCATAGGGGATAAATAACTTAGGAAGAAGAAGAAGAAGAAACATCTGCTTAGGTTGAGTAGTTTTGGCTTTGATGTTGTATATTGCAATTGCTGCACTGTAATAAATGTATGTGTTCTTAGAATACATTTACACAGATAAGTCAAAGTGTTTGTTGTCATTGATTTTGAAATTATATGAATGTCTGCTATGTCCCTTATGCTTAATGGTGTGATTTCTATTTTGTGTTATGTCTAGTGAGAGATCTAATGTCACCATCCCCCCCCCCCCACCTCTCCCCCCTCTCTCTCTCTGAATATATATAAATATATATATATATATATATATGTGTGTGTGTGTGTGTGTGAGAGAGAAAGCGTGAGTGTGTCTTTGTCTTTCTTATGTTCACCACCTATAAATTTTAGTGAAAGTCCCAGCTGTTCATCCTTTCCTTTTCTGAACTTTATCCTTGTTCCAGAAATTGAAATTTTGTGCACACATCCATTTTGCATATCTGGTTTACTTTTATGCAGACTGTTGATTTCTTGCTTCTCAGTCAGAGGCACTCCCAACTTTGAAGGAAACACCTCCTAATTATTGGGCTTTTATGACATGCTAGTTGTAACATATATACATTTTGATGGAGGCTTAGTCACAAAGAGAACTAATGTATCACAATCATTAGAAACCTAGACCATATTTTATTTTATCATATTGTGAGAGGAAAAACCATAAACATGCTGTGAGAGCTAAACAGAGAGAGATGGAGAAAGACAAGAACAGATTCTTGACAATATGTTGTCATAACATGAAACCTTTGTCAGCATACACATTTATACATTCTCTTTACAATTTCAAGTTGTGAAGAAGCAGTATGTTCACATCAGTCAGCAGGATACTTTAGCAGTATCTTCACATCAGTCAGCAGGATACTTTAGCAGTATCTTCACACCAGTCAGCAGGATACTTTAGCAGTATCTTCACACCAGTCAGCAAGACACTTTAGCAGTATCTTCACATCAGTCAGCAGGATACTTTAGCAGTATCTTCACACCAGTCAGCAAGACACTTTAGCAGTATCTTCACATCAGTCAGCAAGACACTTTAGCAGTATCTTCACATCAGTCAGCAAGACACTTTAGCAGTATCTTCACATCAGTCAGCAAGACACTTAAGCATTATATTCACATCAGTCAGCAAGACACTTTAGCAGTATCTTCACATCAGTCAGCAGGACACTTTAGCAGTATCTTCACATCAGTCAGCAAGACACTTTAGCAGTATCTTCACATCAGTCAGCAAGACACTTAAGCATTATATTCACATCAGTCAGCAAGACACTTTAGCAGTATGTTCACATCAGTCAGCAGGACACTTTAGCAGTATCTTCACATCAGTCAGCAAGACACTTTAGCAGTATCTTCACATCAGTCAGCAAGACACTTTAGCAGTATCTTCACATCAGTCAGCAAGACACTTTAGCAGTATGTTCACATCAGTCAGCAGGACACTTTAGCAGTATCTTCACACCAGTCAGCAAGACACTTTAGTAGTATCTTCACATCAGTCAGCAAGACACTTTAGCAGTATCTTCACATCAGTCAGCAAGACACTTTAGCATTATCTTCACATCAGTCAGCAGGACACTTTAGCAGTATCTTCACATCAGTCAGCAAGACACTTTAGCAGTATCTTCACATCAGTCAGCAAGACACTTAAGCATTATATTCACATCAGTCAGCAAGACACTTTAGCAGTATGTTCACATCAGTCAGCAGGACACTTTAGCAGTATCTTCACATCAGTCAGCAAGACACTTTAGCAGTATCTTCACATCAGTCAGCAAGACACTTAAGCATTATATTCACATCAGTCAGCAAGACACTTTAGCAGTATGTTCACATCAGTCAGCAGGACACTTTAGCAGTATCTTCACATCAGTCAGCAAGACACTTTAGCAGTATCTTCACATCAGTCAGCAAGACACTTTAGCAGTATCTTCACATCAGTCAGCAAGACACTTTAGCATTATCTTCACATCAGTCAGCAGGACACTTTAGCAGTATCTTCACATCAGTCAGCAAGACACTTTAGCAGTATCTTCACATCAGTCAGCAAGACACTTTAGCAGTATCTTCACATCAGTCAGCAAGACACTTAAGCATTATCTTCACATCAGTCAGCAAGACACTTTAGCATTATCTTCACATCAGTCAGCAAGACACTTTAGCAGTATCTTCACATCAGTCAGCAAGACACTTAACCATGCAGTGTAAATCTTTTCTATATGTGTACAAGGCAAAGGGAAACACTACATTAATTTCGCAAGAATTATTGCTAAATTAGCTTTTTCTTTTTCTGTGCTCATTCTTAAAGGGTCGGTTGGCACGTTTTTCACAGCTAGGCTGCGATATCTGCACCTTTTGACCCAACACATCTGATTTCCGAAAACACCTAATTTTTTACCTCTTCTGATTCCGATGTGATTTTTTAAAATTCCAAACTCGATCCCTTTTCAGCCGCCTGAAGGCCTGCTATGTGAAAAGAAGAAAAGGAAGATTCCTTGGCTATCTTATTTTTTGTCCTTTCATTTGTGTTTGATCGCCTCTTACAACATGCTTGTTATATATGGGGGAGGGGGATATCTATTCTTTTTATTCCCAAAATGGAGCCCCAGAATACACACAAAGATTAAGATCATCTAAGAAGCCAGATTTATGACATAGTTTATAATAGAGAAATGAGTGAGTACTTACTTCCAGCAAAGGTGAGGGCTGTAGTTGCCTGCAAGCAGTTACGACGTCTGAATGAATCAGCACACAGGTACAGTAGCACACACACCGCTGACAGAACATAGCCAATCAAACCAATGCACTCCATTGCCTGGATGGCACGATGGAAATCTGTGTAACAGAATTCTTACTTTTAATCTTAAACCGTAATCTGTAAAACATAATTCTTACTTTCAATCTTCAATCATAATCTCTGTAAAAGAATTCTTACTTTCAATCTTTAACTGATATCTGTGTAAAAGAATTCTTACTTTCAATCTTTAAATCTGTAAAAGAAAGATCACTTTAACTTTCAATGTTTAACTGAAATCTGTGTAATGGAATTCTATCTTTAAATCTGTGTAATAGAACTTTTACTTTAAATCTTTAACCAAAATCTGTGAAACATAATTCTTACTTTCAATCTGTACTAAAATCTCTGTAATAGGATTCTTACTTTCAGTCTTTAATTGATATCGTGTAAAAGAATTCTTACTTTCAATCTGTGTAATAGAAAGATCATTCTAACTTTGAATCTTCAACTAAAATCTGTGTAATGGAATTCTATCTTTAAATCTGTGTAATAGAATTCTTACTTCCAGTCTTTATATCTGGGTAATAGAATTCTTACTTTAAATCTGTGTAATAGAATCCTTATTTTCAATCTTTAACTTACAAATTTAAGATAAGTAATGTAAAAGTAGAGGAGACTTATTATCTTCTTTTTCTTTTTCTTCTGCTTTCGACATCAGTCATGCTAAACATTGAGTCCCGTCTGGGTCACAAATAGGATTGTGTGTTTAAGGTCGCCACTGGTCTCCCATAGCTTCTCTTTCAATGTGGCTCCCTTGGGCCAGATCCACAGTCTTTGCTGGGAGAGGTAAGGACAGTGCTGCAGTATGTGCTCAGGGGTCTGTCTTTCTGCTCCACAATCACAGGCAGCAGATTCTTTTATGCCTATCCTGTACAAGTGTGCTCGAAGACCACAGTGTCCAGTCCGAAGTCTAAAAATTGATGTTTGTTCTTTCTTTGTTGAGTTTGTTTATGCTGTCACTCTCTGGTCTGTAATCTCCATTCTGCCTTCTCCACTCACGCTTGAAAGACTGCTTTAGCGCTGTTTTGGTTTCCTTGTAGCTGTGTGGTGGATGAGGTTGTGGAAGATTACTCCCAGCTTTTGCCAACTCATCTGCTCTCTCATTTTCCTTGAATAACACAGTGGGCTGGTGTCCACTGCAAGACCAGTTCTGCTTCCTTGGAGAGTAAGCCAATGTTGGTCCTTAGATCTGCAATTAGTTTGTCTTGTTTTTTTGCTGGATAGTGCTTGGAGAACAGACAATGAGTCACTAAGTATAACAATTTGGTGCCCTATGTGTTCTTGAGTGATAAGATGTTGGACTGCAGAAAGGAGGGCAGTTGCCTCAGCTCTGAAGTTAGTGCAGATGTCACCTGCTGGTAGAGAGAGAATTTTTGCTCTACTGCTAGGGAGTTTAATTTATATTCCACAACTCCCCTTTCTGACTGCTTCTGAAGCAGAGCCGTCGGTGAAAACCTGAGTCCAAGTGGTGATTGGATACTTCTCATCAAGCATAGCAAGAGCCATGGTTCTCTGTTGTCTCCATCTGGGCATCTTTTGAAGTGATTCCTGGTACCTTTAGGACTATATTTGCTTTCTCTGGCTTGCTTGTCCATGGTTCTGGTCTAAGTTGTTCGCACAGTGCAACATCTCTTTCAAGCAGATCTTGGTGCTGTCTGTACAGTTCTCTAGCAAGGTGGTTGGGGCTCTGACGCTTCAGTCTGTTTTTTGTTCCCTTTTGAAATTTAAAATGCAGTGGGTGACTTTGAAGTCTTTTTAATTTCTCATACTGTAAAAGAGTTTTGTATTTTCTTCTGAGTTCGAGTGGTTCAGTATCTGCTATCCTTTCTATCTCTCTGATGGGGGTGGTTTTCATGGCTCCGAGAACAATCCTTAATCCCATATTCTGAACTTTGTCCAGTTTTCCCATTGTTGTCTTGGCTGCTGCAGTCCATGCAGTGGAGGCATATTCCATGACTGGCCTGACTGCTCCAGTATATATTTGTTTTAGGATTCTGGAGTTAGCGCCCCATGTGGTACCCGCTAATTTTTTCATCACTGCAAGCTTCTTGAATGTTTTCCCCTGTACTGCTTCTACGTGTGACTTCCAAGTTAATCGCGAATCAAGTGTAACGCCCAGAAAGGTAGGAGTGTCAGTCTGTGGAATGAGCTGGTTTTTTATCCGAATTTTGATTTTTTCTTTTTTTGGGGGAGAGAGAGAAAAGTGATGCTGTGCTTTTTGAATTATTTAGCTTTAGACCCCACTTTTCGTCCAGGCTTCTACATTTTCCACAGTTCTCTGTAACAGATATGAGGCTGTGGTAGTGTATTCGGAGGCTGTCCAAACTGCAAAGTCATCAGCATGTAGGGTATTAGAAACGTGCTGGTGGCAGGTTGCTGTGATATCATTTATGTAAACCAGGAACAGAGTTGGTGTTATCTCACTGCCCTGGGGAACTCCTTCTCTTAGTTTTGCCAGTTTGCTGATGTGTCCATCAGTTCTGAATCTGGCTCTGCGTTGGAAGAGAAAGTCTTTGATCCACTTGTACATGTTGTGCACAACTCCTACCTGTAGCAGTTTTAGTTGTAGGCCTTCTTTCCAAACTGTATCGAAAGCGCGAGAGAGGTCAAAGAAAACAGCAAGAACTTTCTTTTTTTCCTGGAAGGCATTCTCAATGTCCTGTGTCAGATATGTCAACTGGTCCTCTGTGTTTCTGTGCCGTCTGTATCCTGTCTGCGTGGTGGTGACTACCTAGTTTGTCTCCAAGAACCATATTAGTCTTTTATTTACTAATTTCTCCATCAATTTTCCTACACAACAAAGAAGGCTAATGGGTATGTAGCTTTTCGGGTCTCTTCTGTCTCCACCCTTGTTAAGGATAGGCTGGATGAGGGCTTCCTTCCAGGCTGACAGTACTACCCTTTTTTGCCAGCTCTAGTTGTAAATGCAGAGGAGAAACTTCTTGGCAGCAGGTCCAAGATGAGAGAGAAATTCGTTTGTAATGCCGTCAGCCCCTGGGGCTTTCTTCATTTTCAACTCTCCAATTCCAACTTCCAGCTCTTGCATGGTAAACTTTTCTGACATGCAGGCCTCTTTTGTTTTTGTGCTAGAGTCTGCTAGAAGAGTCTTGGTCTGGTTTCGTACTTCTACACTTATTATAATAGTGGTGCATTAGGTATATGATGCTAGACTCGTATTTTTATAAACCAATCAGCACTCAGTGGGTTTTTTTCTTCTTCTTAACATTTACCGGCTGTAAACTTCAGCAGAAAGTTATGGTTGTTCGTCCACTACTGGACGTTGGTCTTGATCCGGAACTTGAGTTTTGAGAGTTCATCCGTTTTCTGAGCACCTTTGGACATGTCCGGAGTGCAATGATGTTAACCCAACTAAGTAACTAATATTCCAAGGTAATACTTGCTGCAGTGGTCATGACACCCTTAATCATAACTTCCTTGGAGGTTATAGGATCTGAACTGTTAGACTGCTATCCAGAATGTGGCTTTTTTAAGTGGATGATGACCAAACCATCACGTGGAAGCCGGGGGAGGTGGAAGGGGGGGGAGTAAAAACAGAGAGAAATCAATAAAACAATCACAACTTACCATTAACTTGTCCATAGCTGACAGTACGGCATCCGAAAATACACGTGTGGAACTGCCACAGTCCCCTTGTTTCTTGAGATCCATACACACGCCAGGCAGGTGTGGCAAAACCAATGACAAACAAGATGAGGCCGATTAATACGGAGAAACTGGCAATCTTCATCCAGATGGACGAGGTGCTGAAAATGTTGGCCATTGAGTTGTGTCTTAGGTAACCCTAAAGCCTGAAATAGAAGATCATGAAATGGGTGTTGTGGCATGAACTGGGTGTTGTGGCATGAACTGGGTGTTGTGGTTGTTATAATAAAGATGAGACTAGTTAGCTCTAGAAAGTTATAAAAATGTAACTATACATGTGTGTGTTTTCTTGAACAATTCTTCGCCTCGGGACTTTTTTGTCCATTTAAACATCAACAAAAGTGCCACTACTCACAACAAAGGTCGTATTTAGGAGTAACCTTTGACCCAAGACTCACATGGAGCAAGCAGAAAAGAATCAGAGCAAGGGACTCAAGAGAACTCAGCTGAAAAGGAAGTTAGCTGGAACAGACTGGGGGGCAAACCTCAGTGTCCTGAAGAAGACCTAAACAGGCTATGTGAGGCCAACACTAGAATATGGAATAGCTGCTTGCGGCACAGATGCTAAATCACATTTTCAGAAAGTCGAAAGGATTCAAAACTAAGCTATCCGTATTATGACAGGGGCCATGCGCTCCACGCCCATATCAGACATGGAAACAATTACTGGCCTCCATGCTCTGGGAGACAAGAGAGACACAAAGCTCATCAACCAGGTCTCCAAATACCAACATTTGAAAGAACAACCCATACACAGTTATATTGTTTTTAATTTAACTTTATTAATCTATGTTTAAGTATCTCGTTTCCTATATTCTGTTCTTTGTTTATATGCACTGTTATTTTCAGTTCTTTGTGAAACCCTATACCTCACATAAGCATTGAATGACTCACATACTGTACCCACATTCGTCATCACGACCCTCACTAATTGTCCGTTGTCAACTGGTGAAGACTTGTGCAACTTTCCCCGCAAGTCACGCGTTTAGCTGTGTGGTGTGAACTTATTTTGTGAGGAATGCTTGTGCCCCCTTCTCCCCGCTTATATTTTGTGCATGGACTGGAGAGAGAGAGATAGAGAGAGAGAGAGAGAGAGAGAGAGAGAGAGAGAGAGAGAGAGAGAGAGAGAGAGAGAGAAAGAGAGAGAGAGAGAGAGAGAGAGAATTTTCCGAATGGTTTCATCACAAGAAGTAGAGAGACACAGAAAGAGATTTCTTGATTGCTTTCATGAAACAGAAGTAGGGGGAGAGACATGCAAATAGGCAATCAGAAACATTTAGGGAGAGAGATACAAGCAGGCAGGCAGGCAATCGGGGAGAGATAGGGAGAGAAATATACAAGCAGGCAGGGAGAGATAGGGTGAGAGACATACAAGCAGGCAGGCAATCGGGGACAGATAGAGAGAGAGATACAAACAGGCAGGCAGGCAATCGGGGAGAAAGAGGGAGAGAGATATACAAGCAGGCAGGCAATCGGGGAGAGATAGGGAGAGAGATATACAAGCAGGCAGGCAATCGGGGAGAGAGATACAAGCAGGCAGGCAATCGGCGAGAGACGGAAAGAGAGATACAAGTAGTCAGACATTTGTCGAGAGCAAGGGAGGGGAGATATACAGACACGCATTTTGCAACAACAACCAAAAAAAAAGGGGGGGGGGGGACACAAGCAGACAACCATTTTTGAGAGAGAGAAATATAGATAGATACAAGCAGACAGGCAATCGGGGAGAGAAAGAGGGGAGATAGACTAGCAGACAGGCATGGGGGGGGGGAGAGACAGACAACCAGACACGCATTTTGAGGGACAGGAAGACTGGCAATCGGGCAAATAAAGTGGGAGAGAGAGAGAGAGAGAGAGAGAGAGAGAGAGAGAGAGAGAGAGAGAGAGAGAGAGAGAGAGAGAGAGAGAGAGAGAGAGACAATTTCTTAATAATCCTAGAATTAAGGGGAGAACGTGAATGTGAGTTTACGGTGTCCGTCTCAGTATCAACAGTTACTGGGATGGGAACACAATGCAAGGCAAGGAATTTTTTTTTTTACTCTAATGATAACGCACACCCCAATGATCTCTTAGATAGTGATGCCAGATAACGCACACCCCAAGGATCTCTTAGATAGTGATGCCAGATAACGCACACCCCAAGGATCTCTTAGATAGTAATGCCAGATAACGCACACGCCAAGGATCTCTTAGATATTGATGCCAGATAACGCACACCCCAAGAATCTCTTAGATAGTGATGCCAGATAACGCACACCCCAAGGATCTCTTAGATATTGATGCCAGATAGCGCACGCCCCAAGGATCTCTTAGATAGTGATGCCAGATAACGCACACCCCAAGGATCTCTTAGATAGTGATGCCAGATAACGCACACCCCAAGGATCTCTTAGATATTGATGCCAGATAACGCACACCCCAAGGATCTCTTAGATAGTGATGCCAGATAACGACGAAAAAGATCAATCCCAACGGTAAGCTACGCATTTTAATGTTGAACTAAGAATCGATATCACAGCATTCGGGACACTTTAAGCGCTCCGTCCCTGTCTTCAGCAGCAAGCGAAGAAAGCCAGTTCCGATAGCGCCAATAACTGTATTTCCGTCTCGCCTTTCCCTTGAATGGTAAGTGTTGGCCAGATTCCCTGGTAACCCCTCTCGCAGCAACATTTAAAACTGCACAAAGCTGTTAAGTACAAAATAGTTGACAGCAAGGCCACTCCCTGATAAGATTATTAGGAAAACTAACTGGCACGTAGACACAGCCGGTTAACTATGTGGTGAACATGTTCAGAGTTTACATGAGGGCGTGATGGCGTGGGACTCATTCACATTTGAGAATTGAAAAATTTAAAAAAAATACATGTGCTGCATTGTTCTAGAAAGAAAGCCTATATACAGATTCTTTATGTTACTATTACTACTACTTCTATGTAAAAGTAAGTAAATTTCCCTTTCCCACGCCTTTGGGCGTATAGGGCAAATAGAGATAGACCTATATTAGTATAGACCAATCGGCACAAGATGGGTGAAATGTCAGCATCACGCCGGCCGCTCTTACTTCCCAAGACTGCACCCGGTACCCACTCAAGGCTGGGTCGACCTGGGAATCAAGGTCATTTTTTTTAAAAAGTCCGGCTTCTCCAGGGTGCAAACCCACAACCTTCTGATCCGCACGCGAGCGTCTAGCCGCTACGCCACGGCGACTCCCACTACATCTATGGCTGCAGCATTTTCTCCTTCTTCTACTTTTTCTTAAGCTTTTGCTGCTGTTGCTTCTACTTCTTGTGTTGCTTCTTCGTTCTCTTATTCCTCCTGTTGGTGCGCCTGTTGCGTTTTCCTCCTCCTTTTTCCTCGCCGTCTGTTTATTCTGTTGCTGCACAGATTGCTTCTACTTCTTCTTTTATCCATGACCTTAGGATGTTCGATAGAGTCAGAACACACATACACACACATTATATATAAATATATAATTGGAAGGATAGAGGACTTTGGTGGCAGTGAATCCACATCACTCGCCAGAATAGCAGACTTGGGAATTAAGATCGGCACAGCAAAAAACGAGACGCACACCAGACACGTCAGAAGACCAGTTAATCAACATAGAACTGGTACTATTAGCCATCGGACGTTGGGGTTCATACTGAGGGGAGGATCTGAGCACCTATGGACATGTCCGGAGTGCAATGATGATAACCCAACTAACTAACTAATATATATATATATATATATATATATATATATATATATATATATATATATAATGTGTGTGTATGTGTGTGTAAAATTACGTGCGCACCCAGATGCGAAACTGTCACTTCAGAGTGACAAAACAAACTGCTCAAGTGTAATTCGAGGCACGCCTAACTTAACGTAAAAAGGTAGATGCTCATAGATGCCATACTAGCTTGACCTGTCATCCTCTTGAGCACACAACTAATGAATAATTCGTAGGCAACCATTGCATGACAACACATGACTGGGAATTATGCAGTAACCAAACCTTGAACTATTCGTTGGCTGTGTATTGGGGAGGGAGATGGAGCAGGAGGATTGAGTTTTAACTCTTAGGCCTGATACATTTTATAGGCGTTACTGTAATATCAGCCCTATTGTATAGATCCTACTGATAAACATACAGGCTTTTCTTCCGGCCAAGTACCAAAGTATCATCTCCACCAGGGACTATGTTAAACAGGTCGACTTTCCAGCTCCAAGCTCAGAAATTTGTAAATTTTGGGGTCCCGGAAAGTTGAGGGCACGTGGAGGGGCGGGGGGCTGAAAAAATGGGGGGGGGGGGGGGGGAGGCTGACACCCCCCCCCCTAAATAATAATTTGTGTCTGTTTAAGTGGGTTAAATGGTCATTTTAACTATTTCTCTTTGAAAGTTTGCGTTTATACGAGACTTTTCGTATTGTTGTAAATATCTAACTGTATTTATTTGCCATTCACAAAGTTAGCTGTATTCCTTTACAGAATCGTGCAGAACCAACCCAAGCATATTTGTTTTTCCTGTTGTGGTTTTTCTAGGCAAATTTACATCCGGTAGTTTGCCATTTCTTCCTGGACGGTCAGCTTCCGATACCACTGTAAAAAAAAAACCAACGCAAGGCGCAAGGCCAGCAACCGGGATCGATCCCGTCACCCCGACATTACGAGGCGCGTTCTCAACGCCCAAACCACAAATTCCCCCCCCCCCCCCCCCAACCCCTGCAACCGACTTTTGCCGTGCCATTCCGCACATCATTATTATTATCATAAAATATCATTATGCCTGTTGAGCGCCACCTCCTCCCCCCCCCCCCCCCAACCACACACATGCACACACACGCGCACGCAAACATACCTTTTATTGGCTAGAAAAAGTGTATCAGGCGGGGTTAAGGGAGAAGCTGAGCCCGCCCCCCCCCCTCTCCCGCCATGTATTGTATTCTTTGTATTGCTGGTACACCAGGAAAGATGTACAGTTAACTAGATCAGCACAGCGCACACCGTATGTGCTGAAATTACTGGACTGTCAATATTACCTCGTAGTCCTTCTCTATACCCAATAGAGGTTGGAAAAAGTCGTCACCATGTAAGTCAAAGTCAAGTCTAAATTCACTGCCACCAAGTCTC